CTGAAGGGCTGGCTGTGATGACAGGGGGAGCACAGCACAGAGGGTTGCAGTGAGGGAGATGATCCCAGACTAGCAGGGTTTGGGTCTTAACTGCACTACTGACCTATTGTGTGACCTTGAGCAAATTATTTCACCTCCCCTTGCCTCCATTTATGTGTCAATACTTGGAAATGAATAATAGCACTTACATCATAGGGATGTGAAGAATAATTAAAGGCGGCTTCTTTGTCTGCCACAGCTGAGACAGTTATGGGTCCTTTCTTACCTAAGAAAGGCTTGTGCTTAATTGGAATTCTGCCTATCAATTTGCCCTCCCTTTTCAGATCCATAACTAATTTCAGAACATGTATGATCTTGTAGTTTATCCAGCTTTGTCTTACCATTAGGGTGGTAGCAATGTTTCAGCTTTATAAGTCCTAAATACAAGCAGAGCTGAGATGGCCTTTTCTTCCTTAGATATGTGTAGCTATAATTGCTTAGACAGTAATTGCTTAGATAAGTTCCTGGCACATGGTAAGCACTTTGAAATGTGCTAATAAATAGTGACCTAGTACAGTGCCTTTTGCATTTAAAAATATGTGCATCAAATATTTAGTAGAATAATATTTTTCTCTAAGGTTCTAAGTCTAGTCCCTTTCCATAAAGCTCATACTTATAAGACAAAGGAGAGAAAATTTCTTTAAGAATTCCCATGGTGAGATGGTAGAGGCAAGATGGTGGACTGCAGCCAGCTTTTTGCAGAGGCTCCTGTCCAGAAGGAGACTTAAAGGACAGAAGTTTAGCAAGTAAGCTGATGGTTTAGAGCTGATCCAAGAGAGAAGATTGAAGAATGCACGTCATCCTTGCTGAACCGAGCTGCGACCCCAAAAGACAATCAAAAAGTACAAAATCCACCAACAAGCGGACGGGAGTACCCTCCTCCACAAGAAGGGTTCACAGTTTACTCCATACAAACAAGTGAGCAGAGTTCAAAAATCCTCCCACTCTATCCCATGGGAGAGACCCCCCTAAAACCTGGACCTCCTATCCCTACTAGGGTGCCACAGCACTCTCCTGCCAGGCATAAAACTGTAAAACTGTATAAAACTGTATATATTCTCTACCTGCAAATCTGAACTCCCAGGATTACCCCCCACTCTCACCCTGCGGTCTGGAGGTTTGTCACCCATGGTGTCCAGATTCTTGGGCACTTTCTTGAGAGGAGTGCAGGGGGAAATTGTTGGTGCTGCTCTGTGCTGACTCTGTGGCAAGGGAGCGAGCAGAAGATAGTCAGCTGAGTGGGAATCATACAGGAGTTGCAGTTTCCTGTGTTGCAGACCAGCAGTAGCGGCAGCTGGAGGGGGTCAAGTCCCTGAGGCCATTCCAGAGTTCTGGTCAACCAGAGGTTCCAGGCAATGGTACTGACCTGGGCGGAGCACAGGTAATATGCGCAGCTCACAGACTTAGAGGGAGGGGCTGTGAGTAGAATGCTTGTCTGATTATAATAGCACCTAGCCCTCAGGGGAATATAGCTGAGACAAAGGCCATGGGCAGGCAGAGGTTGGAATTGACACCTGAGTGTAAACACTAATTGCTTGCTGCCCAGGGCTGAGTTTTGTATCAGCTCTAGCAGAGTCTGACCTGCAGAGGAATTTAGCCTTGCTCTGTCCTGTTCTGTCAGCAGCTTCAACCAGGTGCAGGGCTGGAACTGAGTGAACTGCCCCTGCCTATATTAAATACCAAAGGTACCCCTGCTGGACTCAGATCTCTTGGTGACTCAGGCAGTTGTAAACCCAGGGAGCAGTTGCTCACTGGAGTGACCTGGGTCACAGCCCTGTGGGATTACCAGTGACTGGGTGCAAGGTGGGGAAGGAGGCATCAACCTTCCCAGACTAATTCATTTGCTGGGTGGGTCCTTCTGTCCTCATGGAGCAAGGGAGTGAGTCGTATCTGAGCTGCCAGTAGGCTCCTCCTATCTAGTTCCCAGAGACATTTTGAATTCTCCTACCTGAGACCGGTGCTGACTGGGACAACTGATTTGGACAACTTAACTGGGCAAATCACCCAAGGACTATCCAAAGTGGCACCCTGGGTGTATGGTTGAGGGAAGGATTGATTTTCTGAGCTCAATTGTTGTTTGTGAGGGGCAGGGCGACTTAATTGCTGGTATTTCTCCACAGTTAAGACTTCAACCAAGAGTAACTGATTCACTAGGGTAGGACAGAGACCAGCTGAAAATAAGACAGAGCCACTTAGCCCCACCACACCAAGCAGGTCCTCAGTCTCTCAGGCTGTAACACCATATGGGTCCTTGACAAAGCTCAAGGGGAAAAGCCAAATGGGGTAAAATAATCATGGGGCAGAATCAGTGGAAAACTCCAGTAATATGAATAACCAGAGTAGATCAACCCCTCCAAGAAAGGATGTGGCAGAGGCAACTGAAGATCCCCTTCATAAACAGATGGCTGGAATGTCAGAAATATAATTCAGAATTTGGATTGCAAATAAGATCAATAGAATAGAGGCAAAAATAGAACTAGAAATTCAAGGAGAATTCTAAAAGTTCGCTCAAGAATTCAACAAATTCAAAGACAAAACCACCAAAGATTTTGAAACATTGAGGCAAGAGATTACAGCCCTCAAAGATCTGAAAAATACAGTAGAATCTCTTGGTAACAGAGTGCAGGAGGCAGAAGAAAGGATCTCAGACGTAGAAGACAAAGCTGACTATGTACAAACATCCAAAGAGCATCAGAAATGGAAAGCAAGAATGGATCATTCTCTGAGAGACCTCTGGAATAATTCGAAGAAAACTAATATTTGCCTTATAGGAATCCCTGAAGATGACGAAGTTGCTTCGCAAAACACAGAGGCTCTTCTTTATGAAATTATGAGAACTTTTCAGATATGTCCAGAGATCCTGAAATTCAGATTGCAGACAGCTTCAGAATCCCAGCACGACTCAACCCAAATAAGACATCCCCCAGACACATTGTAATTAACTTCACTAAAGTGAATATGAAAGAGAAAATCTTGAAAGCAGTGAAACGTAAGAAAACCATAATCTACAAGGGGGAGGATATTAGAATAACTGCAGATCTCTCTGCTGAAACCTTTCAAGCCAGAAGACAGTGGTCATTGACATTTAATCTCTTAAAACAAAATAGCTTTCAGCCCAGGATCCTGTATCCAGCTAAACTGAGCTTCATTTATGATGGAGAAATTAAATACTTTAATGACATCCATGCGTTGAAGAAATTTGCCATAACCAAACCAGCTCTCCAAGATATTCTTAGACCTATTATCCACAATGACCAGTGCAATCCTCCACCACAAAAGTAAACTAACTCAGAAAATACTGATCAAACTCCAACTTCTACACTGGCAAAAGGATTAAAAACGTCCACTGGACTTTTGAACAACTTGATACCTAAAGTTTTACCAGACTTATCAATAATTTCAATCAATGTGAATGGCTAATGGAAATCAGAAAAAAGCAGGTGTTGCAATTTTATTCACAGATACAATAGGTTTTAAACCAACAAAAGTAACCAAAGATAAAGATGGTCACTT